GTCCGGGGATCTCAGCCACCTCTAGCCCGGAGGCGCCCGTGCGGGTCACTTGGGGCACTCCGGAAGCCCCGTGGGCGGCAGGCCTGCGGCCGCGGGCTCTCCCAGCTCCAGGCGCCGCCTAGTGCGATGGGTGCAGCAGCCGGGGAGCCCGGCGGAGCCCACCACACAGCGCGGACACTGGGGCGACGACCCCACGCAGACCCCAAGGAGGCCGCTGCAGCCAGCTCCCTCAGACGCTTTATTGCCGGAGCCCGGCTGGTGCTGGGCGTCCTGCTGTGAGGAAACGCTGCGGCCTTTGCACAAACAGTTGTTGGGCACAAGGATCAGGATCACAGTGGGGGTGCGCAGACCCCACCGACACATCTGCCCACACCAACGCTCCAAGTGCAACTGGGCTCCACCCAGGGGTGCTGCCTGCCCCTGGCACAGCTGGGAGCCCGCGCTGGCGGCCAGCCCTGGCTCCCACCACGTGGCTGGGCGGAAGGCGCGGACTGGGCGTGACTCCTGCCAGGCACGCGGGGCCACGGGGCGTGGCGGCCGGGCCCCGGCTCTCGGGCAGGTGCGGCCGCGGGTGGCCCAGCGCGGGCCCGGGGACGTTCTCACAACACAACGGGACTTGCGAACTGCTCTTTGCCGTGCGCGGCACTTGCTGCAAACACGGAGCGCCGAGGCCGCACGGCACAGCTGAGGGCGCCGGCCCTGCCCCTCGCTGGTGCTCAGGCCCCGAGGGCACCGTCAGGGGCGCTGGAGGGAGGGAGAGGCTCGGGGGTGCGGACAGGGCACTAAGTCATTTACTGTGCTGCGTCCCGGTCTGTCACCACCGCTGTGTCACCGTGGCCCTGTGACATCCCTGTCCTGGTCAGCCCCGGGCCGGGTGCCCCCGACACTGAGAGGTGCTGGGCTCTGGGTGCAGGGGGACAGAGAAGGCGAATGTCTCCTCTTCCTGCCCCCGCATCCAAGCTTGCGACTGGCCAGACCTGGACCCCGGGCCTGATCCAACTGCTGGACATCTGCCACTATCCTCAACGCCCAGGGCCTTCAGCCAGCCCTGCGGCCCACGCCCTCCTCCAGGGGTGTTGGCCACAGCTGCCACTGCCCTCTGGACCCACTGTGCCCACGAGGGAGCCGTGTGCCCACTTGCTGGCAGCAGCTTCCAGGCCGCCGTGGCCCCTCCGGCCTCCCGCCCTCGTGCGCCTCCGAGCGCAGGCCTCTGCCCCATCCGCGTGGGCGTGGGCGCCGGGTCTGGGTGGCAGCAGCGGGTCAACACTGCCAAACTGAAGCGGGCTACATGCAGTTCTGCCGGGAGGAGCTTCTGGGCCCCCCGCACCCCCGGGCCTGGGCCGCCCTCCCAGCGCCCTGCCCGGGCCTGCCCCGCAGGCTGGGCGCCTTGGGGTTCCCCAGAGCCCAGGTCGGTCTCCACTGTGGAAGTCAGTGCTGCCCACTTCTGTGGCGACGCCCCGGCACCCCCGACGGCTGCGGGGCCCCAGACACCCCACCCATCACGACACCTTGGGAAATGGCCGGCGCCGTGACTCACAGCAGCCCCCTGGGTCCGCTCTGGCCCCACCTTCAGCTAAAAACTTTCCTTTTTGAATACATATTTATATAAACAGCTTAGAAAGTTACCCAGGCACCACTGTTAGTCCTACGAAACAGCCTCAGACCACAGGCGGCCCGGCCCGCCCCGCCGGGGCCTCTGCGGTGGTCGCTCAGGGAGCCGACTCGGGGTTAGGGGAGGCCCCAGAGCACGCGGGGGCGGGGCCTGCGCCCAAGCCACGCCCCTCAGAAGAAGATGACGTCTTCCTTGCTGGCCTCCTCCGCGGCCGGCGGCCGCGGCACGGGAGGCCCCTCGGCCTGGGCGTGGAGGCCCTCGCAGGGGGTGTCGGCAGGGCTGGGGCTTGGGGCCGGGAAGCAGGAGTCTGGAAGAGAGGGGGTTCTGGGTGTCGGGGGGCCAGGCGCCGGGGCGGCCCTGCGGTCGGGGCTGGG